GGGCAATCTACTTCCGTAGTGATACTGCCTCGGAAACCCAAGGAGGGGTCGCTATGAGTCGGGTCTGACTTGACGGCACATAACAACAACAACAGTAGACCTTATGAGGGGGACATAGAATGCCCTGGCAGAAACTTAATGCTGCATAGTCTTTATGGCACCTAGCACACCAGACTACTAAAAGAGTTTTTTGATTCTTGGGCATTTTGCTTAATGTATAATTTTAAATCTATATAGTCATAAATAGTAAAGTGATAGTTTGAAAATCTTCTTAAGTTATATACATTAAATATAAATATTTAAAATTCTAAAAATTTGCCTGTTAAAAATTTAAAAATGACATCATGATTCTCTGCCTATATATTTGCATGCCTACATGTAAAATAATCATCCATGAGCATATGATCTCAGTGAAAATCCCAAGTTTTAAATTTTGATTTATCATAAACTGTAGTAGTATATTTTTTAAGCTCTTTGCAGAAGAATGAATTTCTGTATCCATACTTTGTGTAGGTACTGTAACAAACGGAAAAAAAACAAAAACTATTGATTCCAACTCATGGTGACTCTATGTGTTACAGAATAGAACTGTTCCATAGGATTTTCCTAGTTGGTTATCTTTATGGGAACAGATCTCCAGGCCTTTCTTCTGTGGTGCCTCTGGGTGAGTTTGAACCACCAACCTTGAAGTTAGTAGATGAGCACAGTTTCTGCCACCCAGGCCCTTAGATACTTTAAACTCACTGCCGCCGAGTTGGATCCAACTCATAGTGACCTCTCCTTGGGTTTCTGAGGCAGTATCACTACGGAAGTACTTCCCAGGCTTCCTTCTGAGGAGTGACTAGTGGGTTTGAACTGCCACCTTTCTGGGTAGCAGTCAATGCCTTAGGCACTACGCCATCAGAGCTCCTTTAGGTACTTTAGGTTCTAGTAATTTTTATACTACCATTTAGTGAATTGGAGTCCCTGGGTGCTGCAAACAGTTTGTGTGCTCGGCTGCTAACCATGTGGTTGGAGGTTCACCCAGAGATGTCTTGGAAGAAAGGCCTGGTGATCTGCTTCCAAAACATCAGCCATGGAAAACCTTGTGAAGCATAGTTCTACTTTGGCACACATGGGGTCACCATGTGAATGGCAAATGAACTCAACAGCAGCTGGTTTTATGTAGTGTGTTGTGAAAGACTATTGAGAATATCACCAATACCTTGTGGTCATAAAGCTTTATCCATTTACTATATTCGGGTTTGTTTATTAGGAGATGTAAGCAATTTTAAAAAGGTGACATTGTCCACCTCCAAATAAAAATATGTTAACAAAAATCTCAAGATCAGCTGTTTTCTTCCAGTAAGTATATGATTAAAAAGCAAAACCTAACTGTTTATTAACTGTTATCTTCCTAGTACTATATTATCTTCTGTGTATTTCTTGCTTTATAAAGCCATTAGTCACTGGATAACTGCTGGAAACAGTGATGACTTGCTCCACTAGACAGACTGAATATTGTGCTTGATGAATATTGTTCATTGCTTCTAAATACAAATTTCAGTTTGATGACTTAAGTAGACTGTTACTGCCATTAGTGTCAGCATGGAAGCTGAGAAAAAGCAGGCAGATAGTCTAGTACAGAGAAGAATTTTTTAAATAGATAAGGATGAACCTTTTCTTCTTTACTTTAGGCCATTGAACACCCAGTTCGAACCAATCAGATTCCACGTCAGATTCCTGAGCAGTCGTTCTATACAAAGCCCTTGCCTGGTATTATCATGGGAGGGATTTTACCATTTGGATGCATCTTTATACAGCTTTTCTTCATTCTGAATAGCATTTGGTAAGCTGTGGCCAAAGTCCTGTTATTCCACTGCCATTATGTGTAATCCTAGCTTTCTCTTTTTGTTCATATGGATTATTTCATCTTATTCATGAAAGCCGTTCTCCAATAACCAGGCAACTTAAGGTTATTTTACCTTTTCCAAATGAGAAAACGAGTAATAGTTATAAATTGAAAGCTTGTTACTTCTTGTTAATTCTCAGAACTTTTCCCATTTTACAGAGATGAAAATGAGATTTTTGAGGTTATTTTGCCTCTGTCAGCTGCCATGTGACAGAATATTAACTTAACGTTTATCCAAACCAATGTTCTTGAAAGCTAATTTGTACTGCTTCAGAGAGAAGATACTCTTGAGTTCTTGATAGAGGGGATTTGAGCAAGCATTAGAGGAAGTGTTGAGCTAGATCACTGAGTCTTTTCCAATCCCAAGACTCTCATTCTTTGATTCTTGTTTGCATGGAAAAATTCATAATGGTAATTTTGAGATACTCTATTATAGTATGTGTATTGTAGTGTATTATGATCGTTATTTGATCACATTAACATATGTTATAGAAGGTGACAGGGTTTGAGTTAGAACTAAAGAGTTTTAGTGATTAGAACTTATCTTTCCTTCCAGATTGTTAAGTAATGTTACAAATTCCATTATTTTGTCTCGTATGATGAGAAACCTTATGTATCAAAGGTAGCCTTTTGTTACTTTGGCTCTGCTTTTCTATTAATTTTTTTATCAAATGAGTCACTAGTAGATAAGTCAAAAACAAAACAAAACCCACTGCCATCAAGTTGATTCCAACTCATAGTGACCCACCAATAGCATATTTGAGTAAATGTGAGTCCCATAGCAGTTACTTCTCATTTTTTCCCCTTCTCTACCTGTGAAGGAAGATGAAGTCCATTGACGTTGCCATAGCCTTTCTTCCCCTGCCTGACTCCTATCACCATCTAAACCTATCAGAATTTGTCTTGTTTGATTAGTTAAGAGAAACAGCAAACATTTTCATTTCAGGAAAAATGAAAATAATGTATCTTTTATTGCATCAGAGAGCAAATATTTGTAATTTTATCAGTATGTCAATTTGGTTGTAGGTCTCATCAGATGTATTACATGTTTGGCTTCCTATTTCTGGTGTTTATCATTTTGGTTATTACATGTTCTGAAGCAACTATACTTCTTTGCTACTTCCACTTATGTGCAGAGGTATGTAGTAACAATAATTTATTTTACTTACACATTTTTATTTGTAGATTTAGTTGTAATTTTGTCATACAGCAAGCTTGAGTATTATTAATTGAAATAATTTCATGATATAAATTGATTCGTAAATCAAATGTTAGCCCTCTTTAGGATTAAATTAAGATAGTACCTAGTTCGTTATATTTATTTAGAGCTTACTATTAGAGATTATAAAATGTTAGTTTCCTGAGGGTAGCACATTATAAATGGAGTTGTGCTAAATTTTCATTGTTGAATTTTTTAGATGTCTTACTTAAAAATTAATAGTATTTTTATAATATGGATATTTCTAGACTCCAGATTTAGTAAAAATAGATGTTCTAAGTGGAAAATTTCATTTAAAAAGTTTCAGTGATTACATTTTAATGAACTATATTCATAGCAGTATATCAAATGATGACATCCCTATACAATAGTTAGAATTAAATTTTAAAGATTTGTGTTAAATTCATTCCTTTGTAGTAATTTCTATACAGGAGATGATATCTAAGTTTGTTAAACTTGGTATGCTCTTATTTTTAAGTTGAGGTGAAATTTACATAACATAAAAAAATTGACATTTAATACAGTTCACAGTGTTTTGCACCCACTACCTCTGACTAGGTCCAAAACTTTTCATTACCTTTAAATAAAAAACTCCATACCCATTAAGCACTTATTTTCCTTCTCTCTTACAAGGCCCTGGCAACCACTAATCTGCTTTCTATAGATTTACTTATTCTGGACATTTCATATAAGTAGAATCATAAAATACATGACCTTTTATGCCTGACTTCTTTCACTTAGCATAATTTTTTGAAGTTCATGTGCATTGTAGCATATATCAGTACTTCATTACATTTTATAGCTAAATAACACTCCATTGTATATATATGCCATCATTTGTTGATCCAGTTTTTGGTTGGTATTTTGTGGTGTTTCTACTTTTTAGCTATTTTTCTACCTTTTAGCTATTGTGAGTAGTGCTTCTATGAACATTGGTGTACAGGTATTTTTTTGAGTACCTGTTTTCAGTTCTTTTGGGTATATACCCAGGAGTGGAATCACTAGGTCACATAAGTCTGTGTTTAACTTTTGAGAATCAGCCAGCTATTTTCCATAACAGCCAAATGATTTTACATTCCAGCCATCAGTGTCCAAAAAGTTCCAATTTCTCCCTATCCTCACCAACACTTAATTTCCTGTTATTTTGATTGAGGGCTTCAAACAGATTCTTCTATCAGCCATGGCCAAGGAAGCAAAACTAGAACAGACTCAGATTTTTAAAATTTGGTGAACCAGAATGATAACCAGAATGGGAAAAATTACAGGTTGAAATCCTGCTAGAAACTTAATGTCCCTCTTAGAAAATAAGTCAGGGCTGCACATTACATACTAACCAAATCCCTTGCCTTTGGGATTTTGAGCAGAGCTGTGAATAGCAGTGCCCCACTCAAAGATGGGAGTTGATCACCCCACTTTGAATGTGTGTCACTCTCCACAATCCAGTAATCCAGTTTCATGTATCAGGCTTCTGAAAGGACTCACTGTACACCTTCCAAATCTCCCGTTCCAAGGCTTTGACCCATAATTTTTCCCATTTCAGTTATCATTCTAGATCACTAAAATTTTTAAAATTTGGGTCTGTTCTGGTTTCATTTCATCACCCGTGACTGAACTGGTTTAAACCAGTTTGGAGCCCTGTTTTGATTATGGTTATCCTAGTAGGTGTGCGATAGTATTTTTATGGTAGTTTTGATTTACATTTCCCTAATAACTAAAGTCATGGAAGAAAGATGTGGCAGTGTGCTTCAATAAAGATTATACCCTTGAAAGCCGTATTAGGGGTATTTCTAAAGAACTGACAGCAGTAGGTTTGGCTATTTTTGTTTGTGTTTTGGTTTTAATGACTAATGGTGCTGAATGTCTTTTCACATGCTTGTTCGCCATTTTTATACCGTTTGCCCGATTTTGATGTAGAGCAATTTACCTTTGTTTTTCTTCTGTTTCTTGTGCTTTTAGTGTCATATGTGAGAGTCTGTTGCCAATTCCAAGGTCATGAAGAATGTCTTCATGTTTTTTTTCTAAGTTTTATAATTTTAGCCCTTAAATAAGTTACTAATCCACTTTTTAGTTCATTTTTTTGGATTTGAAAGAATGATTTCTTGATACAATGAGTACAAGATTTCACTGAAACTGGAACAGTTGACAAAATATGGTTGAACTTAATTAAACCTTCAAGGGAAGTTAGAGAGTCAGACAAAGTAAATGAGTGGAGAGGCCCAGGATTGGTTTGAAATAAACAAAAAGGATAATAGAATTTCAGTATGAGTATCTCCTGATCCCTCCCAGCATTTAGTCAGCCCTCATTCTCCCAACCCTCACCCTCTGAAGCATCTACCAAATCAAAAGCCGCCTTTTTCTGTATTGCAGGTATAAGTCAACCCAATATTACCACTTTAGACATGTTACAAAGCAAAACGTTTATCTCATTTGAGGGTGGAAGGTACACACTGAGGTGCACACTGGTTGTCACCTACATGGTGTCAACACACATGGTAGTACCTTTAACCAGATCAGATCTGCTATCACTATGACCTGTTATATGGGCCTGTAGCTCAGTCATTGTACCCAATTTGCTGCACTAAATTGTCAATGCATTCTGTCAGCACAATGGATTTTGAGCTTCAGATTTTCTGAACATTTCTAAAAAGCCGTTAAAGATGATATAGTACAGAACTGTATTTCAGAAGTATAGACATTAGAGAGGACTGTTGATTGTAAAAGGAGCTCTGGTGGTATAGTGGTTAAGGCATTTGGCTACTAACCAGAAATGTGGTGGTTCAAACCCATCATCTGCTCCACAAAAGAAAGATGAGGCAGTATGCTTCCATAAAGATTTACAGGCTTGGGAACCCCAGTGGGGGTCGCTGTGAGTTGGAATCAACTTGATGGCAGTGAGTTTGAGTTTGGGAATTGGTTTTAAAGTATACCTTCAATGGCTCTTTGTGGGACCTCTTTTTGGACGTACAGAGATGAGCAGAGGAAATGTTAGAATGTCAGAATATATGACAGGTGAGGAGAGGCAGAGGAACAAAGGAGGTGGTCTAGCCACAAGGATAACACACTTAACCATCCATGTTCCAAGAGAAGTCGGGGTGGGGGAGGTAAAGAAAAAATGTGTGTGTGTGTAAACCAAACTCACTGCCATTGAGACGATCCCAACTCATAGTGAGCTCCCCCCCCGGGTTTCCGAGGAGGTAAATCTTTACAGAAGTAGATTGCCCAGTCTTCCTTCTGTGGAGTGGCTGGTGGGTTTAGAACTGCCAACCTTCTGGTTAACAGTCAAATGCCTTAGGCACTATGCCACCAGAGCTCCTTTATATATATATGTATGTATATATTTGTTGTTGTTATGTGCCATCAAGTCGGACCCCACTCATAGTGACCCCTCCTTGGGTTTCTGAGGCAATATCAGTACCAAAGTAGATTGCCCAACCTTCCTTCCGAGGAGTGGCTGGGTCTGAACCGCCATCCTTCTGGTTAGCAGTCAAATGCCTTAGGTACTACACTACCAGAGCTCCCATATATATAGATTTATAAAACCAAACCAAACACTGCCATCAAGTCGGATCCAACTCGTGTGTGTGTGTGTGTGTGTGTGTGCGTCAGAAGGAAGGTTCCTTCCGAGGAGTGGCTGGGTCTGAACCGCCATCCTTCTGGTTAGCAGTCAAATGCCTTAGGTACTACACTACCAGAGCTCCCATATATATAGATTTATAAAACCAAACCAAACACTGCCATCAAGTCGGATCCAACTCGTGTGTGTGTGTGCGTGTTTTTACTCCTCAGAAGGAAGGTTGGACAGTCTACTTCTGTAGTGATACTGCCTTGGAATCCCAAGGAGGGGTTGCTATCTGACTCAATGGTACATAACATATATATGTATATATATACATATGTGTGTGTGTGTGTGTGTGTGTGTATACACAAAACTCTCTCTGCCGTCAAGTTGGATCTGACTTACAGTGACCACTCCTTGGGTTTCCAAGGAATGGCTGGTAGGTTTGAACTGCCAGCCTTCTGATTAGCAGTCAGATACTTTAGGCACTACACCACCAGAGCTCTCGTATATACACAAGTCAAAAGAAAAAGAATTTCATACAAAACATTATCAAAATGGAAAACACTAAATGCAAACTGGTGGCAAGTAAGTCTATAGCCTATTGTGACGAGCCCTTCCAGCATTAATCAGGTTTCTTCTCATCTGTTAACCTCAAGGTTATTTACAGAGGTGGTGACTTCTGCAAGAGTCTCTCCTGGGAGCGGGTAGGCAGGCTTCAGTCATTGGTTTCAGGATCTCTCTGCACCATGTAGGCATCCAAGTCGGGATCCAGGTGTCCTTTCATTTTCAACAGGTACACATCCAACTGGTTGTCCAGCGGCTGGCTCCTTGGTCAGTATAGAGCAAGAAAGGGCACTGTCCCTCATCCATGGCCTAGGCCTCTGTCTCCAAATCCCCCTCTTCCCTAACCTATCATATCCCAACTTCTACCACAAATTCTTCACACCCTATGCCTCTGCTCCCAGGACCTCCACAAACTTGGAACACTACCTGTTCTTAAGCTCATTCAGGGAGCTATGGCTCATCCACCTCACAGCAGGGTTTGACCTCAGAGTGACATTCCACCCCTAAGTAGGGTTCTCATAGCACATCCCCCATGTAGTCGTCCTCTAGGCAAGCCTCTCTGGATCATGGGCAGACCTTATCTTCCAAACCCCTGGCCACACCCTATGGGTCAGCATGACTGCCTGGATGTTACTCTTACTTAAGCACTGCCTTAAGCTGTGCTTAAGTTTAGTGCCTAGACAAAGAGGGTCTGTTCTCTGTCTGCTGGAACCAGTCTTCTATTTCTGGCAGTGGCTAGCTACTGTTGTTGCTGTGTTAAAGCCCAGATACTCACTGGCAACTGCTGTTTGTTCTTCAGTATAGTAGTAAAGCAATTGCTATTGAGTCAGTTCCGATTCATGGCAACTCCATGTGTATCAGAGTAAAACTGTGTTCCATGGGGTTTTCAGTGGCTGAGTTTTGGAAGTAGATTGCCAGGCCTTTGTTCTTTTAGTTAATTTTTATATGCTGTGAGGTATGGATCATTCTTTTGCATGTGGAAATCCAGTTGTCCCAGCACTGTTTGTTAAATAGACTTCTTTCCCCATCAAGTGGACTTGGCACCTTTGTCAAATACCAATTTGCTATAAATGTTAGGTTTATTTTTGGCTTTATCAATTCTATTCCGTCAGTCTCTATACCTGCTCTTATGCCAATACCACACAGTTTTAATTACAATGGCTTTGTAGTTTTTGAAACCAGGAAGTGTGATTTCCTCCAATCTTGTTTTCTTCTACAGTATTGTTCTGGTTATTTCTGGCTCCTTGCACTTCCACATGAATTTGAGAATCACCTTTTCTATTTCTGCAAAAAAGGCCATTGGAATCTTGTTAAGGATTACATTGAATCTAGCTCTTTTTGGAAAGTATTCCCATCTTACCAGTCTTAAGTGTTCTAGTCTATGAACACAGGATGTCTTTCCATTTATTTAGATCTTTAATTTTTTTTCAGCAATATTTTTTAGCTCTCCGTATACAAGCTTTTCACTTTCTGGCTAAATTTATTCCTAAGTATTTTATTCTTTTGGATGCTATTACAAATAGAATTATTTTTGTTTCCTTTCGGATTGTTTATTGCTGGTGTATGAAAACACATTGATTTTTGTGTATTGATCTTGTACCCTGAAGTTTTGCTGAATTCATTTATTAGTTCTAATAGTGTTTTTTCAACTCATAGTGACTCCAAAAGAGACATGGGATCTCTATAAGTCAAAATTGGCTCAATGGCACCTAACAATAATAGTTTTTCTGTAGATTCTTTGGGATTTTCTAAACTTAGTGTGCTTTTTAAATCATGTTATTACAAAATGTTGGAGAGATCGTGAAGTGTTTTCTGAAAGATTTCCTACTAATCTATATGCCATTTTACAGAAAAGCTGTTTCAGTAGCCTATCTTGTTTAAATTATGTTAGTACTGAGAATGGATTTCAAACAAACCTTAAAAGAATAATCTTCTTTCTAATTTGGGGTTGACTAGACTTTAAGTAGGAGCTCTGGTAGCATAGTGCCTAAGGCACTTGACTGCTAACCAGAAGGCTGGCAGTTCAAATCCACCAGCCACTCCTCGGAAGGAAGGTTGGGCAATCCTACTTCCGTAGTGATACTGCCTCGGAAACCCAAGGAGGGGTCGCTATGAGTCGGGGCCGACTCGACGGCAAATAACAACAACAACAGACTTTAAGTAATACTGATTTTTAGCCATATAAGTAAGCTGTTTCTACATTGTTTTCTTTCAGAAGCATAGATTTTGAATTATAGCCTAATGCTACATTATTCATAAACTGTTCAACGTTTTTCCAGTTTTTTAGCCAGTCTTTTAAAAAAAGACAAAAAACACTGCCATCTAGTCGATTCCAACTCATAGCAACCCCCGTTGGCTGTCCAAGGCTGTAAATCTTTACAGAAGTAGGTTGCCCCATCTTCTTTCCATGGAGCAGGTGGTGGGTTTGAACTGCCAACCTTCTGGTTAACAGCCAAATGCCTTATCCACTACACCACCAGAGCTTCTTTTCCCAAGATTGAGGAGGAAAGGGAGGGCTTTTTAGCATCTTTATTGAGGAGGGAAATAGGTAAAGTTCAAATAGGAGAAAGAATGGGACAGCAAAAATTAGATTTTAGGGACTATTTTACTTAGTTTGTTTGCTTTGTAACTTTATTCTGCTACCTGTTATCTATTACTTGGAAAGTAATTCTTGTTCGTTAATTTTTTTTCTTTTCTATATAGGATTATCATTGGCAGTGGCGTTCATTCCTTACCAGTGGCTTTACTGCTGTTTATTTCTTAGTGTATGCAATACACTACTTCTTTTCAAAACTGCAAATCACAGGAACAGCAAGTACAATTTTGTACTTTGGTTATACCATGATAATGGTTTTGATCTTCTTTCTTTTTACAGGTAAGAATTGAAATGATTATTGTTCATTAAGTTTTTAGACAACTAATTTGTGATTGTTTTCCTCTTACAAAACCCATGGTTTCTGTTATTCAGTGTTCCTATATTTAGTCTTCAACACAACTAAGCATCATTGTTCAACTCACCTCTGAGTTGAATATCAGTAAACTGAAGATGGTGAAACAGAACCTAAAGAAAAAAGGCTGAATTGGGTTCATCATGCTAAAAGCATAGTGGGTCCTGATAAATCTCAATAGTTTCCCTCTCTTAACCCCTTTGTGGTACAGAGTCTTTTGCCCATTTCAGAAATAGGGTACATAGCTATAGCTACCTAAGTTTAGCAGTAAGTAGAGATTGGTGAAGTCAAAGTGAGTTTGAGAATAAGGCAAGATGCTAGTAGGGCACTCCTTCTTGGAAGTTTTAAATTCTAAAGTTTTTATTTCTTTTTTACAATCCAAGTACCTAATGGCACATAGCATGTATTGATGGTTATTTTGTTTATGTATGTCTTTTCCATCCAACTAGGTAAAAGTTTTCTATATTTCAAAGCTCTATAGGTGCTTGGTAAACAGTTATAGAGTGAGTGAGTGAACAATAATAATAAAATGAGACCTTTTTTTGGTCACAATAGACAAATCACAATATTACATTCAACATACATCTGAAATTTTCTCTGAGATTGTCTTGGATGCATGTGAAGAGCTATAGAAGCCAAAAAGAATTTTTTTTTTAAGATCTATTCTACTTTTTATTCATCTGTTAACATTTAAGAGCATCATGTAAAGTTTTGATGTCCCCCAGCTGTTGTATCAGTGCACGGCAGGCTTCAGACACTTCATCCATTCTGTGTGACAGGTCACTGATGGCACATAGTAGTAGGACGACTGTGTGTCTTGGCACTATATGATAGAATTATTGGAATCCACAGCCATAAATCTTAGTAAATTGTCTGTAAACAACAGTGGTCTATGAAACAAGAATTACTTTCTTGGTGTATTTGTGTGTCCATAAATGCATATATAGAATAATTTATTCCATGCCTATGCAAAAAATAATGATCTTAGTGAATATCTGCTCTTTTTCCCGGCATATGGTAAAGAAAATGATAGTTCAGAAATGACCCAAACTTTATTGTTCCTGACATTTAAAGTGTCATATTTTCACACAGAGTAAAACAAATTTTGTAATCTAAGTTCTGATTCACATCAGATTGAATCAGCCAGTTAAGTTAATAAATTTTAGTATATTTCACCATGTGAAAAAAGTTATATTTCAGGGAGTGGTGAACACTTTAAATATATTGCATTTTTCTAAAGTAGGGTATGTCCATATTAGCTCAGAAATCCAAACTGACACCATTTTATTTAAGTCAGTCCATCTTACAAAACAAATATAGTTTTCTATCACATAAGGAAAGAATCTGTTTTTAGTATGTACATTATATCAGCCCCATGTTAAAAATAATATAAAGCAGTTAACTTTCTTAGGGTTGCCAGGATGGTGATAAAAATGTTTTTCTCATCTTAAAATATCTTTTCCTGTGACCTTGAAATTCTGGCTAAGCACAAGGTTATTTAAATATATTTCTGCTCCCCTGTTAGTTTTCCAGCCCATAATAAACCTTTTGAATATCTGAAATGTGTATCTGTATGCACTCTAAGACACATACAGTGCCTTACATACTGTAGGTACTTGGTATGTACAGTATATGAATGAGTATAACATAGTTCATAACTTCCCATAGTCATCTCCCACATCTTTTCTGTTGTTTTAGAAAATCTCTATATATTATATGTAAAACGATTGTGAAAACCATGAGGACTTTAAATATGAAAATTACATAAACTCAAAAAAACCAAACTCAGTACCATCTAGTCAGATCCAACTCATAGCGACTTCTCCCTGGGTTTCCAAGGCGGTATCACTATGGAAATAGATTGCCCAACCTTCCTTCTGAGGAGTGGCTGGTGAGTTTGAACCACCAGCCTTCTGGTTAGCAGTCAAATGCCTTAGGCACAATGCCACCAGAATTACATAGGGTATATTATATTACCTTACATATTTTTCTACATCCTCACCTACTGAATGTTTCCTAAGAGATAATCCTGGAAAAAATGGTATACCTTAGTTTATGTTTTAAGTTTGTTGGGTGATTTCAAAATCCAGTGTATATATTTTACAAAACAGAGTCTTCAAATCTGTGTTTAGTAAGCCTGAGCATGTTGTTGTTATGTGCTGTCGAGTCGGACCCAACTCATAGCGACCCCTCCTTGGGTTTCTGAGGCAGTATCGCTTCGGAAGTAGATTGCCTCATCTTCCTTCCGAAGAGTGGCTGGTCGGTTTGAACCGCCAGCCTTCTGGTTAGCAGTCAAGTGCCTTAGGCACTATGCTACCAGAGCTCCCAAGCCTGAGCATATTATAGTATAAAATATTGCTACACTTGAAAGCAGAGAAAATTGAACTTGAGTTCTAGCTGAGTTCATTTACCAGCTGCTTGACTATGAGACAGGCATATTAAAAGTGTCTAGCATTGAAATTGTTTGGAATCAGACTGGTGAAGTAACCTGAAAATCAAGGCATACATTTTTTCATCACTTATCTATCTCATTTGCTTTATATGACAGACTATGGAGGTAGCTGTTGTTGTTGTTGTTGTTATTTGCTGTCGAGTCAGCCCTGACTCACAGCGACCCCTCCTTGGGTTTTCGAGGCAGTGTCACTACGGAAGTAGGATTGCCCAACCTTTCTTCCAAGGAGTGGCTGGTGGGTTTGAACCGCCAGCCTTCTGGTTAGCAGTCAAGTGCCTTAGGCACTGTGCTACCAGAGCTCCTTCTCTATTTAACAAGATAAATAAATGGGCTTGGAAAACGATAGGCCTGTAAGGTGAACAGTAACACGAGGGAGGTACACACTCCTTAGAACAGTCAATCATACAAGATCAAAAGGGCAGCATTTGCCCAGGGATGAAGCTCAGAAGGTAGGAAGGGATAAGAAAGAAGGATGAATGGAATCAGAAACCCAACGGGAAAGTGGGAAGAGTGCTTTTACTTTGTGGGGATTGCTGTCAGTGTATGACAAAATGTGTATGAATCGTTGAATGGAAAACTAATTAGCTCTATAAACTTTCATCCAAACCGCAATTTAAAAAAAAAAAAAAGAGGAAGAAATGGGCTTGGAGCTGACCCAGCTGAATCTGTAACAGGGTTGTTGCTCTCCTCTGTGATCCTGTGTAGCCACTTACATTTAGCTGTGGCGCATCTTTGCTTTTACCCTAATACATAACTCCTAACATTTTGTAAACAATATTTAGTTGTTTTATTTTACTGTAGCTCTTTGAAAATTAAGACTCCCAGTAACTATACTTAGAAAATATCCAATTTAATTACTTTTTTTCCCCCTTTTATAGGAACAATTGGCTTCTTTGCGTGCTTTTGGTTTGTTACCAAAATATACAGTGTGGTGAAGGTAGACTGAAGAGGCCCAGTGTGTCCAGTTAAAACAGAAATAAATTAAATTCTTCATCAACAAAGGCCTGTTGTGACTACCTTGAGTTTTATCAGACTTACTGGCCTAGTGATTTCATCAGAAGCAACATAATTCTAAATACATCTCTTTCCATACACCTGTTCCCACAAAATGTATTTTCAGCACCAAAACATTTGTATTGTGATTTGATTAAGTATATTTTCAGTTGTTCTCAGTGAAGAGCAAATTTAAATATTATGTGCATTTGTAAATACAATAGCTTAGAAATTTTCAGCACTTCTAATGGCAGAATAGAGGAGGCCATATGAAATAATACTGATAAAATTCAAGACAGTTGATTGTAAATAGAATTTTCTAGGCTCGGTAGGTGGAAAGAATTATTTTTCTTTAAAGGAAATAACTTTTTATCATGGCAATTTTGAAGGATGATTCCTATGATGTGTTCATTGGGGGATGTGGCTTTTAAAAAAAATCTTGTAATGGTTGTAACTGTTCATATCTTTTACTTTTCTGTGTTGACTTCATTATTCCCATGGTATTGGCCTTTTAAACTATGTGCCTCTGAGTCTTTCAATTTATAAATTTGTTATCTTAATAAATATTGTAAAAACATCGACATTGCATCATTACTTGTTATATATTCAAGGAGATTCTATAAATACAAATCTACTTACCAAGGGATGTTTTAAAATGATTTATCTGCTTTATCAGATTTTACTGAATTTTGTTAATGTCATGCTTTTTGAGTTTTGTTCTAAATAAAATTCCAGTCTCTTGGGTTTTATGACAATTCTAAAATCTTCATTGTTAGGCTTTAATGGAAATTTAAGTCACATATATCTGGCCACATTATGGCGAAGTTCAGTACTGAACATGGACTTTCTACCTACTTTGTCATTTAGGATTTTACATTTTTGTTTTGTTTTTCAGAACACAGTATTTTTTTCTTTTTTAAAAAGAATTCAGTTCTTAAAATCTATACATTATATACACTAGCAAGTCTTCATCTTTTCCTTTTAATTACATTGTCCTAATTTGGATTTCATAGTTTTATTTCCTAGAGTTAAGATTGAAATAAGTATTTCTGTTTTACATTCATCTGACAAATTGAAATTAATTTACGTGGAACATAGAAATTTGGGATAATTCTAGAGATTTTAGTCTGCTTGTATCTATGAAAATAGTCATTTGTATTTTAGGAGCTGAAAGCTTACTGCAAATCAGATACCATCATTAAATTTACAGCTAAAATTCCTTAACTGTTGTTTATGATGTTGCTGGGTTTAAACTGAATAATTTTATGTTAATAACCTTTTTTTACATAAATCCGACCAACATGTTTGAATAGTGAAATCATAGTATTGTCGTTGTATAAGGAGCCCTAGCTATTTTAACCTCTCACATAGAGGATTTAAGATAGAAAAATTCCTTTCAAATTTATTTCCAGTATCTCTTATAGAGTATTTAGTTTGTGTACAGTGCTTTTATTCTTGTATATGTAATTCAGTTAAGGTACAAAACAAACAAAAATTTATATACAAACTTCTAATTGAGACACCAAACTGGTTTTGTTAGTCAAGGTTAAGTTTCTTCGATTTTATTTTTCCTTCAGTGAACAATTAGTCTAGTGATTAAAACAGTCAACTTTATTGGTTTGATAGAATGTTTATGTATTTTTTGTTTATACTTTGATAATCTTGGGACTTGTGCCTTTTCACTTATACTTTGAAGTAATCATATTTCACGCTTAAATAATAGAGGCAACTGGGAAAATAAAAGTATTAAAGGAAAAGATTTAGGAGGGAGGAAAGATAATGAAGAAAACATTCAAAAGGAAGGCAAGAGAATTGGTGAGAAGGGAAACAGAAAAAAATGAGCCTCTTCTATGACTTTGATCATGACTCTTCAGGAGATAGCTGCCATGATTTGTTTAAGATATTTTCCAGGGGAAAAGTGCCCTGGCTAAGTCATGTAGTAGTGGTTGGTTAGAATCTGTAGACTTTTTTCCATAGTTCAATCGTACCCCAGGAAGGTAAGAATTCTGTTGCATTGTGAAGTGTGAGAGACTAGGAACCCCAGGGAGAAGTCTTTTCTGTGTTCCAGAACAACTGAAAAGTGTGTGGAGGAAAAGAGCATGTAGTGAGGGCCACGGAACAAGATGACTGAGGTATTTTCCTGCTTGAGAAATGTTAGAGAGTTTCATTCTTTTTGTCTGATAATCCAGTGTCTACCTGGGTCATTTATAGGATCTATCCATTTTGCAGGACTGGTCCTAAGCACCATGTTAAAGAAAGTAGCATTCTGTCTTCAGCCTGACATCCTTGCCCAAAACATAAGGAAGACAGCCCATGCTTTCCTATGGTACCCTGGGTACCAAAGGACTCCTACAACTTCTTGTTCCTGCTGTTCTCTCAATGCAGATTTGTTTACAACCTCACCCATCTTTGTTCCAGTCTATTCAAGAATCGTTTCTCCTGCTATGTCCCAATTTCTGTCTTCGGTTTTCTCTTCTACTATATGTTCAGATCCTTTCTCTCCTTGCTGTTTTTAAGGACATAAAACATATTTCCATGTTTTTTTTTTATTAATAAAACTTATCTCTTGACCCATTTCTCCATCTTCTGCCCCTTGTTTTTGTCCCATCTGTCTTTGACATCTTGGCTTCTCACTCTCCCAGAAAAATGCTGAGGTCTCCAGAAACTACCTGATCATCACCTGCAGTGGGTACTTCTCAGTCCTTATTTTGTTAGGTGTTTTTTGCACACAATTACTCAGTCTCTCCTTGAAACCTGTCCTTAAAGCAGTGTTTCTCCATATCTTAGCTGTGAACCTCCTACATAGAATCTCAAGGAGATTATCACAGAAATGCCCTGACCTAGAGATGTGTTCTGGAGAAGTGCATTAAAACAGGAAAGCCTGTGATTTTCCAGCTCGTTTCATTGTCATTCTGTGACTTCTGTCAGTTTCTTTCCTGCCCACCCAGTAACAGTTGTTCTGCCCTAGCCCATCTTTGGCCTACTTGCCACTTGGTTTTCTCTGTTTAATTTCTTGCTCTTGTTTTTATAACCATTACCTACATCTCCAGCTATAGCTAACTGCTTGCTGGATGTCACTAAGTGTTCCTCAGGAACCTCAAATTCATTATGTACAAAAGAAACTTCCTTTCTCTCCATACTCAAACCTGTTCCTCATCTGGAGTCTATCTCAATAAGAGCCATTCATCCTAGACCATGAGCTGAAAACTCAGAGCATCCTAGGCACCCCTCCAGTTAGTCATGAAGTATGCATTTTACCTCTAAAATCCCCAAGTCCATTGCTTCCTCTCTGCCCCCTCCACCTCTGGACACTACACTGTCTCCGCCAGCTGACTGCAGGGCTTCTGGTTGGTCTCACTGTTCCTCACGTGGTGCTCTGCATTGAAACCTGCAGGAGATGCCAGAATGGTAGAAATGCACCACTACTCACCTCCCTCCAGAATATGTTCCATCACCACCAAACTGTTTACTCAAGTGTGGTTGTTAAGGCTGTGTGCTAACTTGGCTGGGCCTAGTTTTGAGTGGCTGGGATGTAGTTATTCCCCATGGTGAGACTTGTAATCAGCTCCATAGTGCAATCTACTGGAGCACCTGAGTAGCTGCCTTAAGGATGTGGTCTACTTCCAGTATGTAAGAAGCAGCTTTGGGGATGGTCTGCAGCTTTTTGGCATGCTTGGACCATGCATGTAGCCAAGTCTTCATTCAGTACCTGCCATGCCCTGCCAATCTTGGGACTTTTTCTGGACTTGAATTTGAGCTTGTCGTGTTGTTTGATAATCTTGGGACTGCCTTTTCTTTTGTCAACCTTGGGGTTGCCAGCCTCAGCAGCCAGCAGCTGCCTGAGTTAAGCTTCCAGTTTCAGAGGGCGGGGAGCAAGAGACAGCTGAAGCCCAAGGTCGAGGGTCTTGCACCCTTAGAGCCTGGCACTTTAAACTCGGACTTCTAGCCTCCAGAACTGTAAGAGAATAAACTCCTGTTTGTTCAAGCCAGCCACCCATTTGTGATATTTCTGTTAGAGTGGCACAAAGTAACTAAAGCACTCATGTCTGTCCAGAAAAGGGTCTCCCAGAGATTTAAAAAATAAAAACAAAAAATTTTAATGTTAAAACATATCAAAAGTAAAGCTAACTTAAGCTATTTCAGACGGTCATAAATTTTACTATATCCAGTGTATAGCACATTAGAATTTATGATAGAATTTGGTTGCAAGAAAACCTAAAACCTTTTCAAATGCATTTGCTTCAAAGTTCTGTATAACATACTGACCTCATGCTGCCAGAAGTCTTGTTTTAGTGATAAAAATACCAAAACAAAAAGTTACATTTTATTTTAACACAGGTCTGCTTTACTTGTTTTATTACACCTTATAATGATGCTGTTCTAGTGGAAAACAAAGGATACTAAGGATTCTCTCTTCTTTACCAGAATCCTGTAGCACTAAAGTCAAAACCATCCATTGAATGTCACAGGGAATTCTTTTCTTTGATCACTGTTAAGTCAGTGACCCCTGTTGGAAGAAACTCAGTGTTTTGTGTCTGGGGTGGTGCTTCTCTGGCCTGGGGTCCCACGCAGTCACGGGACAGCCTTGTGATTAACAAGGCAGCAAGAGTGTTAGCACCATGACTGGGTTTCTCTGAGAGCAATTGTAGAGAATTAGACCCACAGAGAATAAAAAGGCTTTATCTGGGCTAGGGTTGTACTCCTGGGTGAAGTCATTGTTTTGTTTGAGACATCCTCTTTCTGGATCACCAAAATTCCTCAGAAAACCAATGAACCACAAGTATTGGGAAAGGTTTTTAAAAACCCTCATAAACAAACAGGTTTTTTACTTCATATTTTACAAGATAATTATTTCTTAGGTGTCTATCTTACCACATAAAATAACAAGTAAGCTCTTTTGGGACTGGGCCCTATGTTACTTATCTTGGTTGCCATGGTGCTGGGAACACAGGA